GGTGGTGGTGCTGGTGCATCAACCAGCACAATGGCGCCCCTTTCACATGGGCTCCCGGCGGCTGTGTCCATGTCGCGGCGGGTGTCGCAAGTCCTGCGAGGATGGTCGGATGCATGGCGCGAAAGCGGCGAGGGGAGGGGGGGGGGCGAGCGGGGACGGGCCGCGGCGAGCAGGGGGGCCGCAATGCAGACGGGCGGGCTGCCGTGTTGGTGGGACCCGGCTGGCAGGCGTCCTCCCCAGGGGGGCACTTGGTTCCCAGCCAGGCGGGACAACGGGCCCGGTGGGGTTAGGGGGAGGCCTGGCTCGGGCATTGAATGTACCTCCAGAGCGGCCGAGTGTCCGGCCGGGGCCGATGGCCGGCGTTTGGTGTACGACATTCGGTGTCGCGACCCGCGCGAGGACCAGGGGCCTAGGACATGTGCCGCGGGAGATTAATTGCGCCCGACACACTCCGTCCCACCGGGGCGGAGGGGAGTGGGGGGGGGGGGGGGGGCGGGGGGGGGGGGGGGGGAAGGGAGGGAGGGAGGTGAGCACGTGTCGTCGGACAGGGCCGGGGGACGGGTGCAGGCAGGACTGGGCGGGAGGTGGGACTTGAAGGGGGGTGGGAGCGGCGCGGCCGGGGACAACGCGCCGCCCGGCAGCAGGGCTAATGGCTCATTTTTCAGCTGGCTCACCACCCAGTGGGGGGGGGGGGGGGGCGCCTCAAGGGTGCTATGTGGGTGTGTTGTGGGCCGAGCGGCACCTTTCCCGCATCCGGAGCAGACGCCGCCAGTGAAACCCCCCTCGCGGCTCGGCAGGTCCGGCGGAGATGGCCAGAGGGATTTCAGCCTCGGGCCAATGGGGTGGGCTGGCCGGCCCGGCCAGCCTCCCCCTCCTTCCCCGAGAAGGGCCACGCTGTGGGCAATGTATGGCGCGCGTCCGGGCACGCTTGGTCCCGTCGATACCCCGGGCCCGGTGCTTCCGGGAATGGTTGAGAAGCGAGACACATTGCTCCCTTGGGGACATGGCCCAGTCAGCATGCGCGGATCACAATTCTCGCTCCCCCCCTCCTCCTGCCCCCCGGGTGTGCCTTTCAATCCGGAGGGCGTGGCTCCTTGTCTATTCGGTGGCAGGGCTCCGGTTGGCCGACGTCCTAGCTAGGGTTGTATCTTCGACCTAGGATGCCTGCCTTGCGCCCGTCCTCCCTTCCTGCCTCCCTCCCTCCCTCCCTCCCTCTCTCTCTCTCTCGGTCTCTTCCTCGGTCTCTGGCTGCCGCCCCCCCCCTGCGCCCGGGCCCGCCTGCAGGGGAGGCTCCGGGCGGATCCGAGGCCGAGGTGCGATTGGATTTAACTTCGCCCGCCTCCCCGGCTGGCAGGCCGCCGGCCCTCCGGGCGGGGAAAACCGCCCAGCCGCACAATCTGGTCGGGAGCCCCCTCTCGGCGGCCCCCACCCCCAGGAGAATGGATGCATGTGCGTGCATGTGCATTGGTTACCCCCGCCCTGCCCCTTCGCCCTCCGAGGCAACCTGCCGGGTCATCCTTTTGGGCTGGGCTTCATTCGGGCCAAACCACCGGGAAACCCGGTGCCCTCGAGAGGGGGGGGGGGGCTCGGGTTTCCCCCTCCCCTGGGATCCGATGACCGTGGTGTTGGAGGGGCCGGCGGGGTGCCGGCACCTGGGCCGCGCTGCGCCGCCTCGCGTCTGCCTGTGTGCCAGGCCCGCCCGGCGGCAGATGGGACTGATGTTGCTCCTCGGTCGGCCATCCCCCGGCCTCGTTTCGGATTCGCCGACCCAGCTGCAAGGAGATCGGGCGGGGCGCGAGGCAAAGGGAACGGAGGAAAGCCGAGCGGGGGTCGATGATGGGGGGCGGGG